CTCGCAGAGCCCAGACTCCATGTGGATCTACAGTTTTCCTATTGTGCCCATTTTATTTCTAAACTAAAAAGTGTAATTGAGGCGGCTTTGGTGCAGGCTGAGAATGGTTTTGGGGTATCTGACATTGCGCCTCTAAGTTTTGAACCGAATCATTGTCTCCCTGTGTTGGGCCTTCAGTGGCCAGCTTGGCAGTCTCCTCTGCCTTTTGGTCTCCAAGGACGATGGTGTCTTTTACCTTTTGAGGTCCCCTGTGGTGCATGACAGCCTCCTCTTTGGGTTTCCGTGTAACAGCCAGAAGCTGCAAGAGTGATCCCTGTTCTTCATTTGCTTTTGTTCAGCTGTCAGAAGGCTGTGCTCCCAGTGCAGCGTCCAGTGAACATGAATTGTGGCGAATGCGTACCTGGGATCGTGGCCTTTCTGTCTCTTGCCCCATCGAGGGCTCGTATGAGTGCCCAGAGTTCGGCTTGCACAGCAGGCCAGCCCATGGGTCATTGTAAGGCAGTCCAGGCCTGGCCGGCCGAGCTCTGGGGCGGCTGGGTTCAGAGCGCTCACTGGAAAGTGAGCCAGGGGTTTCTGGTGAGCAGTCCCTGATGCTGGGCGTCGCAGCTGTTTGACAGCCACCAGCATCCTCTCCTGTTGAGCTCAAGAACATCGGGTTCTGTCCAAAAGTCAGCTGACCAAGAAGGGGGCAGCAGCCAGCACCCACAAACAAGGAGGCCGTCCTTTTCACCCCGAGTCTGGGGTCTGGATCAGGTAAGTGTCGCCTTCCCAGGGCCCACCACCAGTGTTGGGGCTCCTGAAGCAATCCGATGCTTTTCCCGTAAACAGGCTGCGAGGACGAGTCACCGGGGATTCCCAAGGCCGGCCGAGGCCACAGCCCTTCCTACCTGCTTGGAGGCTTCGGTTTCTTCCGAAGTCCACTTCATTACTGCCCTGGCTGCAGAGGGTGACTTTAGCGTGTTGTAGAGTGACCTTGTCTTTTCAGCAAATCCCGGTATCCTTATCCTGCAAACTCGCCTGCTCCAAGGTGTTCTTTAAGTTCCCTTCTGCAATCAGGCAACGGGATGGAGCAAGAAACTCCTTTCCTCTGGAGCCTCCTGACCCGGCTCCAGAGTCAAACCACGCTGCCCGGCTGTTTACACAGGAGCCTTCCCCAGGAACCCTTACAGCTGGCGGCCAGCAGGGGGCGGAGGAGACCCTTAGTTCCCACCCAGCAGTTCTGCACTTAGACCCTGGTCTGCGTCCCGCAGGACCACACAGTTAGGTTTCCCACGGGGAACCTGCCTTCCCCACACAGCGTGGGAGAACTCGTAAAGCCCTGTGTAAACGAGTCCACGTACCGTCCCCTTCGCCCCGGGGAGGGTCCTCCCATGCAGAGGCAGACAGAGGCTCGCCAGTGGGGGCCACGCACAGATGGAAGCGTCTCCCCAGGCCAGGAGGGTGAGCCAGGCAGCGCCGGGGGAGCAGTCCCGGGGAGCGTGTGGGTTCGCGGTCGCGATGACGAGCCAGGCATTCTGCACTAGCTGATAATCACCGTCCTGATTCACTGGGAGCAGAGGCTGGGGTCCTAGTCTCTGTCCGAGTCCAGCCCCCTCATGAAAAGAGCACTCTTCAGTGCTGAGAGAGTTCGCTGGCAGACTCCCCAGGGGGGCTGGTGTGTCCTAGGGGTGGAAGTCGGGACCACTGGCCTGGGCTTTTCTGAGGAAGGGGATGTGATGTTTGCAGCTGAGATCAGTGGAGCTGGTGGTATGATGCAGGCTGCTGGTTCAGTCCCCTCTGGCCACTGGGACATCCTCAAAGGGGCGTCTGAGATGTGCTGAGCAGAGCAGAGGCTTAGTTCAGGGGACTCTGGGGGGCTGGGCTGAGCTGGGGGCGGTGCAGGCTGTAGAGATGGAGTGGGGTGGAGATGACAGGGACACAGAGGCTGCGATGTGGGAGGCGGAGATGGCTGAGGCGGAGCTGACGGCTGTGCAGAGGGTGCCAGCAGCGGGGACAGGGCGGGTGTGGCCCCAGAAGTGCTGGTGACGGGGACAGAGCTGTACAGTCTGGAGGAGTGGCCGGGGGTGGCTCTTTGGTGCCTGCCCCAGAGCCTGCGTGGCTGCTGGGGGCCGCTTCAGGACGTGGCAGGGATTTGGCAGAGTGCGGTAGTCCCCATAGACGGTGACGAAAAGTCCTCATCAGGACTTTCAGGCAGGACAGGATAAGTCTTTCAGTCTTCGGGTCTCTGTGTAAGGGATTTGTGCTCTGCTTTTACTACCACAAGGGCTCCCCTCTCCTGGCCAGCACAAGCTGGAAGCCACAGCGGTGGATTCTGACAGTTCAGCCAGCAATCAACATAGGGGAACTGGTCGGGGCTGTTTTCCCAGGTCTGGTTCCAAACTCGGCTAACGATGTTTACAGAGTGCCCCCTGGCGGCCAAGCGGGACAAAGACGTGGCCGTTCAGTGTTGCAAACCATGCAGGGCCTTCTGGCTCCCCGTCTTCTACAAAGCCTTTCTTGAACGTTTTCCTTACGCACGCCAGAGGTCAGCTTGCTCTGGCTAGCACCCACACTGGCCATCTCTTTATAGTGTGTAGGGTGCCCTTGCATGGAGTCACAGCAGACGAAAGATGGGGTGCCTGGCCTGGGTGACAGCTCAGTAGCACACATGCCTGCCTGGCAAGTGCAAGGTCCTGGGTTCGATTCCTGATACCAAAAAACAAACAAAAAAGCTGGGGTGACTTTCTCAGAGCGAGAAGTCACATGCTTGTTGGCTGTGGCCGTTCCCCTCTCAGGGACACTGGTCTGTCCAGGCAGTAGTGGCACACATGCTCTCCTGTGCCAGGTCAGTTCCCTGTGCATGGTGGCACAGAGTCAAACCCCCATTCAGCCTACCACATACGAGGTACAGAACCGCAGAGATCTGACCCCATGGAGCTCCATAGGTCTCCCCAGGGGGGCCTCCCCGGGGCTCAGGGATGGGACTGCCTACTCGGATGCTCCCCACTCTCAATCTCTGCACTTACCCACAGGTGCTCAGAGGTTAGATGCATTCTGTCCCCAGCCCGTGGGGATGCGTGGCCAGCTGGGGGATGTCCCCGCGGCAGCCCCACCTTGTCTGTTGGCCGGCCGGCTTCACTGCATTCCTCTTAGGGTCCTATTCGGTCACTGCTGCCACGTGGGCTCTCGCTCCTTGACCAACCTCTGAGTTGATTCTGAGAAAAGAGCTGGAGGATGTGCCTTCTCATCTGTGATTCAGAGGTCAGTGGGTGCAGGCCTCCAACAATGACCAAAACGGTTAGCACAGTGTCCCCAGGCAGGCCCCCAATTAAATGCTTTGGAATTCAGATGCAGACCAGACAGAAGACACAGCCCCAGAGGAGCTCTGCAAGGTGTTCAGGCTGATTGCACCAGAGCACCGGGGGACTCTCATTCCCACTCACCAGCCCTGCCTTGGGATAAGGAAGTTACTGATACAGATTTTCAAAAGGCAGCATAGAAGGCGATAACACGGCATGTTACGGTTGGCTACACCTTGCTCGTCATCTGTTGCTAGGCAGAATTTACCCTCTGTACATTTGGCATTTGGAATGTTAAGCTTTGTTAGCTTTGTAGCTTTCTAAAGATGGGCAGCCTGTGTTTTCCAGTCTGTCCCTGACTAGGTTCCGGTCCCAGGTATTTGGCATGGGCTGCACAAACCTCGCAGACACCTGTGGCCCACTGCTGTGCCCAACACCGGGGGCCCAGAGGGGAGACAGGAAGAGACAGCTGCTGTAATCGGTGATGCTCTAAACTCACCCGGGTCCCTTAAAGAGAAAGCCAGGGACAGTTGGGAAATGAGCTCCTGTCCCAGGTGAGAGAGGACTGGACCCCAAGTGCAAGATAGACGGGGCTTCCACCGGGCCGTGCTCTGCACAGGAGGCCGCTGATGCACCCACCTTGCAGCCCTGGAGGGTTGGCTGTCCCTGTTCCCAGAGCGCCGTGAGGCCGACCAGGACCTTCATGAGCTAAAGAGGCCGGGGGAAGCGGCAGGGCCCTGTCCACAGACATTGCTGTCTAATCAGAGGAGCCTGGTTACCCCGAAGGTCCGGGGTGGGCCAATTCAGACTCCACTTCCTTCCTGGAACCTTGCCTCTGCGTCCATAGCCACAGTTAGCGCCAAAGGATCCTCTGGTCAGAGATCCTCTCCTCTGCCCAGGCATTGGCCACGCCTGTAAACCAGCGTTGTCCTGGACCTGGTGAGCAAATGGGACACTGGTGACCTGGGGCTGCGGGTCCCGAGGCGGCTTGGTGCACGGGGCAGGAGCTCCCTCCAGCATGTGGGAAGGCAGCTGGGCTCACAGCAGGCCGCTGAAGCTGCGCCTCTGCCCCCAGGCACCTCTGCTCATCCTGGGCCTCAGTATTAGGAAAGGACAGAGCTTTAAACATCCACACGGACTCCAGGTCCACCTTCCCCTGGAAGGAAAGGGCCTTGCTGCTGAGTAATCTCTGTAAACCACTCCCACCCCCACCCCCGCAGGCTCTTCCACATCTGCGGGAGGTAGGCCGCCTTCCTAGGCAGGTCGCAGTCATGCACTGTAGGGGACATCAGAGGGACCTGTCCCAAGTCTCCTTGGGAAATTGGCTGACAGGGACACCAGAAGGGCAGCCCAACCCCCCAGGGCCCCTAGCTTTATCCCCAGTTCCTGAGGGACCATCAGAATCAGTCTGTACCCTCCAAGAAGATAAGTGGGCCTTAGCACAAGGAGGAATTGAAGAGACCCTGGTGCCACTTAGGAAACAAATGGGTCCTTCCCCAGGGGACGCAGTGCAAGGCTGTGGAACCTCCTCCTCTCCAAGGACCTGTACCTGTACGGAGGACAGGGACAGACGGGGGGGGGGCAGTTAGACGCTACCCATATGCACCACTCGGGGCTTAAACAGATGTGGGTTCTGGTGGCCACCTTTACAGCAGGACTGAAGCTCTCCTACGTGTTTCAGAAAGGCTGCTGGGGTAGTTGGGGTGCTGCTTAAAGAAATCAACCCCCATAGAGACAGCGCAGGGGCAAGTGAGAGCCGGACGGGCACTGGGCGACTCTGTGCCTCGCTGAGGAAAACAAGTAAACATGGGCAAAGGAGATCCTAAGAAGCCAAGAGGCAAAATGTCATCATATGCATTCTTTGTGCAAACTTGCCGAGAGGAGCATAAGAAGAAGCACCCAGATGCTTCCGTTAACTTCTCAGAGTTTTCTAAGAAGTGCTCAGAGAGGTGGAAGACCATGTCTGCTAAAGAGAAAGGAAAATTTGAAGACATGGCAAAGGCGGACAAGGCTCGTTATGAAAGAGAAATGAAAACTTATATTCCTCCTAAGGGAGAAACAAAAAAGAAGTTCAAGGATCCCAATGCACCCAAGAGGCCTCCTTCGGCCTTCTTCTTGTTCTGTTCTGAGTATCGTCCAAAAATCAAAGGAGAACATCCTGGCCTTTCTATTGGTGATGTCGCAAAGAAACTGGGAGAAATGTGGAATAACACTGCGGCAGATGACAAGCAGCCTTATGAGAAGAAGGCTGCTAAGCTGAAGGAGAAGTACGAAAAGGACATCGCTGCCTACCGAGCTAAAGGAAAGCCTGATGCAGCGAAAAAGGGAGTTGTCAAGGCTGAAAAAAGCAAGAAAAAGAAGGAAGAGGAGGAAGATGAGGAAGACGAAGATGAGGAGGAGGAGGAAGATGAAGAGGATGAAGATGAAGAAGATGATGATGATGAATAAGTTGGTTCTAGCGCAGTTTTTTTTTCCTTTGTCTATAAAGCATTTAACCCCCCTGTACACAACTCACTCCTTTTGAAGAAAAAAAATTGAAATGTAAGGCTGTGTAAGATTTGTTTTTAAACTGTACAGTGTCTTTTTTTTTGTATAGTTAACACACTACCGAATGTGTCTTTAGATAGCCCTGTCCTGGTGGTATTTTCAATAGCCACTAACCTTGCCTGGTACAGTATGGGGGTTGTAAATTGGCATGGAAATTTAAAGCAGGTTCTTGTTGGTGCACAGCACAAATTAGTTATATATGGGGACGGTAGTTTTTCATCTTCAGTTGTCTCTGATGCAGCTTATACGAAATAATTGTTGTTCTGTTAACCGAATACCACTCTGTAATTGCAAAAAAAAGTTGCAGCTGTTTTGTTGACATTCTGAATGCTTCTAAGTAAATACAATTTTTTTTATTAGTTAAAAAAAAAAAAAAAAAAAAAAAAGAAATCAACCTCAGAGCGGACCATTCCCTCTGTCCAGAGTGACCTTATTTACCTCTCAAATAATTCAGGGAGTTCTCTGGCGTGAAGGCACAACCCTGTAATCCCAGGACTTGGGAGGCTGAGGCAGGAGGATCGTTTAAGTTTGAGAGTTTGCAAGTTTGCAGCCCGGGCAAAGGCTTTGGGGATAAGGTACTACTCTCATTCTCCCTGGCGGCCTCAGTGTTCTGCGAAGTACCAGGCCCTCAGTGAGCTTTGGCAAAACTGCCAAGAAATGCCTGAGTCCTGGTTCTGAGTACCACTGATGGCATGAAGGAGGATTTGTAACCTCCCGAACCTGGCCAAGTTGGAGCTCATTACATGGAAGGCCATTTGTGTCCTCCGATACCATGACAGACCCAAGACCACAAGGCTCTTACAACACCTCATCAATATGGGGCCAGGGCAACCCTCATCCGAATGGACGGCAACAGAGTCCTGTAGGTTCCTGGCCCAGGGCCACTGCCTAGCGTCCACCCAGTGAAAACCTGAAAACCTGGAGAGCGGGGACACCTGCTGACCAGTCAGAGCCGAAATGGAAAGGGCCCTTCTCCGTGACCCTTGCCAGCCCCACCTGAGCTGTCTGAGGAAGGTAACCATCCAAAGGAAAAGGCTACTCCGTGAGCCTCCTCCGAAGACTGAAATTTCTCTTTAAACTGCAAAGCTCCAGGCTGCTACAGATAAGAAAGCCAGGCCTGGCGCAGGCCAAGGCCCCAGGGTTTTGACAGCTCATCCGACCCACCGACCCACCGGGCTGTCTCCAGGAAGCCTGGAAGCTGGACCTGCCCCTTCTTTTTGCCATGAATTTCTGATTCCTTCCACCAGGCAGGAGCCACAGCAGCCCCAGGCAGTTGGGAGGAGGCCTCTGCAGCGCCTTCCAGCTCGAAGGAGCCAGGGAAGACAGAGCCCTCCGCGCCCGGCTGCCCACGAAGTTGCACAGGACTGGGGTAGCGCCGGGAGAAGTGAGGTAGCAGCGCAGGGCCTGGTAAAGCTGGCTGGGCTGTCAATCATGGGAACCCGGAGCAGCGCCAAATAACTCCCAGGGCCCCGGATGTGGAACTTCTCGCGGGCTCCCACGAGACAGGGGCGGCATAAAAGACAGGCGCTCCGGGTGCCCGCCAGCCTGGCACCCCAGTGGCAGGGCGTAACTTTCCTCTTTGGGTCCAGCTTTAGTCTGCAGAGCCGGTTTTCCTCTTACCCCATTTACTCCCCGCTGTCCTTCGTTCGTTCTTCTTTTTTGTGTCTTTTCTGTCTCCCTATGCAGTTCAGGCTGGCCTTGGGCTCACTTTGTAGCCCAGGCTGGTCTCGAACTCGCAGTGATCCTCCTGCCTCAGCCTCCCAGAGTGCTGGGATGACAGGCGTGTGCCACCATGGCCGGCCATCAACTATTATTTGACCTTGTTCCAAACCAGGGAGGTCAGTTGCCTATCGTCTGGCTTCTAGCAGTTTCTTTCAGAGTCATCACGGACTTCCACCAACTGTGCTCGTGTTTAAAAAAGCCTTGTTCCATACCCAATACAGATTTAGTTTATGTAATGCAATATTTAAAAAACAAAGTAAAAGTGTTTCTGATTCATCTTCTCCTCTGGCCACGATCGGATTTAGTTTCTTGGCATTGGCGACTAAACCTCGGGGCTCTGTTGGTGAATTAATGTTTATAGTACCCAATCCCCGTGCATGTATTACTTTTTCAGTTTAAAAACACGGTTTTACCAAGTTACAGAGGCTGGGCTTGAACTTGTGATCTTCCTGCCTCAGCCTCCCGAGTAGCAGTAGGTGGGGTAATAGGTGTTCACCACGGTGCCCTGCAGGATTCATGTTTCTTCCTTCTTACATCTCGGATTGTGTAGCACAGTGATTTCAAAGGCTGTCGGAATAACTCGAGATCAGATCAACATGGAAAAGTTACAGAATTGAATTTAAATATTTTAATATCAACAAAAGAGCATACAAATTGGTAACCACATCAACTCCGAATATATATATATATATATATATTTTTTTTCTTTCTTTTTTTAGTCAAAGTCTATTTATATAGCCCAGGCTGGCCTCACACTTGGTCCTCTGGCTTTAGCTTCCTGAATGCTCTAATTACAGCCGTTGGCCACCACACCTGGCTGCCTGGGAGCTCTTATTTCATGAGGGTTCTTTTTTTATTTTTTTCAATAGTGGGGATTAAACCCAGGGCCTACCCCCTGAGTGACATCCCTGGCAGTTTTTATTTGGAGAGAAGGTTTTACTAAGTCACGGAGTTGCCCATGCTGGGCTAAAACATTTTATATATATATATATATATATATATATATATATATATATATATTTTTTTTTTTTTTTTTTTTTTTTTTTTTTTTTTTTTTTTGAGTCTATGCAGTGCAAGCTGGCCTCAAACTCATGGCAGTCCTCCTGCCTCAGCCTCCTGAGTGCTGGGACTACAAGGGTGCGCCACCCTTGGGTTAAAATTTGAGACCCTCAAGGCCCCCCGCCGTTTCACCTGACCCCTGGTGAGGGTCAGGACACCAGGACCACACGGCCTTCACACTGCCAGCTCAAGGGGCTCACGGTGGACCCGACGCCTGGTTTGGGGCTGTGGGTGGGAAGTGAGTCCGGGGCTTCTAATGCAGTCCCATGTGGGGAGCTGAATGCATAGCTCCGCCGTGTTAGAATGTAAGAGACCCAGCTTGGAGACCCTTAGACCAGAGGAGGGCGAGGTGAGTGTATGATGATGCCATGGGAGACCCCAGTATCCGACAAGTTAATCTGCGCGTCCATACGTGTGTGTACGTCTTGCTGCTGTTTTGAGACAGGCTCCTGCTTGAGGGGATCCGTCTGACTCAGCCTCCAGGGTGCTCCATCGCACCCAGCTAACCAAGCTCATTTAGAGTAAAGCAGGTACAGGTGAAAACTGAAACACACCAGAGAGGGAGATGTGCAGCATCTCTGTGCCCTTCTAGGTGGCCTGAGTGTTGGGTGCACAGGGTCCCTCTCCCGGCCTGAACAGAAGCCCAGGAGGCCCATTCTTCCTGCCCCCTTCTCCGCCTGAGTAGAGTTGGAAGCCTGGCAGGGGCTCCACAGCAGACAGCTGCTTAGTGAGCACGAGCCTTGGGATCCCTCCCCAGCACTGCAAAGAAAAAGTAAAAAGAATCCGTTTTGAGAATAATTTGCACTTCCCTGTAGATCTGTCTTGTAATATTCCATGTGGAGGTCTGTACTGTCTGACCCTTATTCACCAGCATATCATTATAATTTAAATTAGAATTAGAAAATGGGTGTGGTGGTGCTCGCCTGTGATTCCAGCACTCAGGAGGCTGAGGCAGGAGGATCACTGGGAGTTCAAAACCAGCCTGGGCTACACGGTGAATTCAGGACAGCCTGTATTTATACAGTGAGACTCTGTCTCAAAAATCCAACCCCCCCCAAAAAAAAAACCCAAAACAGACCAATATCTACATCAGGCCACATTCTCAGGACCTGGTAAATTTTATCTTGAGTCAGCGCTTTGATAAGTAGCCCAGACTGGTCTTGAACCTCAGATCTTCCTGTCTCAGCCTCTCATGTGCTGGGATCTCAGGTGTATACCTCTGTACCCAGCAAGATAAACTTTTTGCAGTGAACTGGCTGGATTGAAGGCCATGTATGTTTTAAATATAGACAGACTGTGAAATTCTCCCCCAAAGTGTCCCATCCCCGCCAGCCTGAGGGCTCCAGGGACTCTGGGCTTCGCTACCCTGGAGGGGGAAGTGGGCCCTCGTGACAGCGTCCTGTGAAAACTGACCTAAAGTGCCCTCCCATGCATGCCCTCCTCCTGACTGTTCCTCCCAGCATGGTTACTCTGGGGTGGGAACAGCGTGTCCCTCGGTGTGGGTCTCGATGGGGACTCCCGCACCAGCTGGACTCCTGTCACCAGTCATTGGCTGCAGTGGCCGCAGAGGTGCCACAGGGGCCTGAGGATGGCCCAGCGCTGTGACGCCCTGCCAGGGCCCCAGCTGCCACTTTGGAAACGTCCTGCAGCTTCGCTGGGGTGGTGTGTTCCGGAACAGGAGGGACAGGGCTCTTCTTCGCCTGCCCCTCCGTCCTCCTCCTCTTTCAGCTTTTGGAGACAGTTTCCCTGTGTGTCCAGGCTGGCCTGGAGCTCCCTGGCATCGTCCTGCCTCAGCCTCCCGAATGTTTGCAATATGAGTGGGCCTCGTGGACACTGTAACGGAGCGGAATGAGTCAGTCATCAAGGGACGTGACCTGCAGGACCTCCTGGCCGGTGAAGCTCAGGCCACTGCCAGGCTTTGGGGTATCTCCATCCTCATGTCTCTCCAGGGACAGCCGCCAGCAGGTGCAGCAGGCTGGCTCCACCCAGCCTTCCCAGAAAGAAGCAGGAAGACCTGTCCCTGCAGCTTTGTTCTTCTTTTCTAGTTACTTAGTGTTTGGTTTTGGTGTTTTTTTGGAGACCATCTATGTAGCCCAGGCTGGCCTCAGACTCTCCTCAGTGCTCCTCCTGCCTCAGCCTCCTGAGTGGCTGCTGGGGTCACAGGTGTGCACTACCTCCCCCACCCAGCTGGAACCTGCTATGTTGCCCAGGGTAGCGCAGTGTGCATAACCTCCCTTAGATGCCTAAGCAGCCCTTCTTTCATGATCCCGTTCACTGTGATGGGGCGGGGACACTTTATTTTGTACTAAAATGCTGTAGCTGGGCGTAGTGTTGCACGCCTGTGATCCTGGCACTTGGAAGCTGAGCCAAGAGGATTGCTATGAGTTCAGGATCCACACAGGGCATTCAAGGCCAGCATGGTCTGCAGAGCAAGACCTTGTCCCCAAACCAAAGCTAAAACCCAACAAAAAATAAAGCAATCCCTTGATTCCTGGCTCTCACTGATTGATGTTCAGATAGAGTTCAGCTCCCTCACTGAAGCTACTTTGCACCTGCCACTTCCCTACCCAGAATGCTG